CCCAGTATTTTTTGTCATTTGATCTTGTTTTAAATCTTCATTTAGCTTTAGTCAGGGCCCCTTGAAGGATGCACCAAACCTGATCTGTACCCCACATGCAGCCTGGTATAGTGAACAAGCCTCAATTGAGATGCGGGAGGAAGCAGCACGAGAGATCCGAAGGGCGATCACAGGTACTAACTCACCTTATTAGCTCCTTCACTGCATATTTCTTTTTAACAAACTCATTCTTCAGTCTTGAAAGATACTGAAAAAACCCCAACCTTAGGTTTTGTTTACATTTCTAGTATTTGGAACATAGAAACTAGCAAATATCTACTAAGTCTGTTGTCAGAACTGGAACAGATAATTTTGGAGGTTCATTGCAATTACAAAGAGAAGGCGGCAGGCACTGCAAAATAAGTACTTTTTCCAAATAACAGAAATGTACTTACATGTGAAAAATCTGCGTTGTTGTTGTTGCTTGTAAATACTACCTATTTGATGGGTTTGACTGCAAGTCATCCAGATATTGCTGGTATCTTTCATAGGTTTTCCTATGTTCTGTTTCGTTTATTCTTTTTTCTTTGGCTCCTTTGTGTTTTCCAGAGTTCATCCGAATTTGTCTTAGAGGACGGTCTGGAATTTCAGTGTCTTTAAGGCTGTAATTTTAGGGATAAAGCATCTAGAGCTTCATGCTGCTCCTAGTAGTGCTCATATCTCAACAATTTGTTCTCTACATCAAAATGAAACTTTCAGTATTTTGTTGGGAGGATATTGTATTTTAGATGTTCCTGTCTTTAAACTATTGCTAAAGAAGTCTGGCATTTTAAAGGGCAAAGTCTCTTTGTTGTATAACTACCATGTAATTGTAAACTGTTCACATAAGAGAAAACAGTCATGTCTTGAACATGCACTGCTAATAAGTAAAATGAGAAGAGTGAGCCATTTGGCAATGGTTTGAATCCCTTGTAGCCTAAAATAAAAGAAAGGATTTTCATACTGGAAAATGATTCATTAAGCACTAATGTTCTCTCTTTAGTAGGACTTTGCTGTTTCCCCCTTGGCAATATAGACGGAATGCTCTGCAGACATGAAGGGCCATCTGTGTCACCTTGAGAGTAGTTCAGTGCCAACACATTGCTCTGCTATACAAAAAGCACTAGCAGTAGCCTTTCCTGTATCTTGTGTCTAGAGAGGCAATTTAGTTTTATTTATGGCCTGTGCAGAAGGAAGATTCTCCTCTGGATGGTGATTAAAGGCACTTCTTAAACTCCTGATCTAAATTGCCTTTTACAGGGCTGTTTCTCTCTGTTTTAGAGGTAACCTAGAGAGTCCGACCATCCCTTTCCTGGAATTGGTCCTTGTGCTTATACTCCAGAAGAACTCTAATAGTATGCTCATTAAGTTGTTGTACAGCTATTGCCTGCTCCCAGATAGCTCTGGGAGAGATTGCACAAGCCAGCACACGATACCTACTTGGCAGATGATTGATGTGCAAATGGGCATTAATAGGCTAAGATCTGAAAACTGAGTAAGAGTCAGATATACAGAACTAGTTTTATGTTAAATACTGTGCAATAGCCCAAATGTATGTGCCTAGGAAGACAGACCTATATTTTCTTAAGTGTGTGATTGTGCTATCAGCGATCTGTATCATTGATTTGTACTGAAGCTGTCAGCACTTCAGCGTTTGCACATGGTTTGTAGTAAGATCAAACTGAGACCAGCATTAAGGAGGTGGGAATGACATTGAATTGCAGTGAAACAAATGTAGGAAAGGTACAGGAAGTGTGGGATAAAGCTGGATACATGAAAGCCATAGGGGAACACAGAGGAAAAAGTGTAGAGAGAGAGAAACTAATTGGAAAAAGGTGTACAATGAAAGAATGCAGGCAGAATACCATCCTGACAGTAAAGATGTTGAGTGGTTCTGCTGTGACCAAAAAGTTGATGATGTTCTGATGTGTAAAATAAAAATAATAAGCAGAGATTAAATATCTTAAAATATATTTTTAAACATCAAAACAGTCAAAGTATTAAATAAGGAGGACTGCTGAAAACAGTAATAGAAGAAACAGGAAGGCGAGTGTGGCAAGTGAATGATCATTGTAAATTTAAAATAAATAAATAAATACTGTTTTGTAAGGGGAGACTAGTAGAGTATGCCTACAGAAGTTAGCAAACTGAAGATTGAGAGGGGCAAGGAGGAAGAAATGATTACAGTTCAAAAATACTTGAGAAGGGTAAACATCAGAAGAAGAAAGATACTGTTTAAATTTATGGACAATTTTGGCAGAATTTTAGATGGATGTGTATTTCAGCTATATTTAGAAGATGATTTCTGATCAGGAGAATGGTAGGAATTCACCCATGATGAGTCTCATCTTGTCCAATATTGAACTAAGAAGCCCTTTCGGCTTGTCCATAGGAGATGTGGGAAGTTTCAGTGGCATAAGCGCAAGTCATGGACTAACAGGTATTTGATGGCATCCACTAGACAAAAAGCAATTCCGTGAAAAGGCTTTTTTACAGCCCCATTGTGGCCAGGCTGATGGATAGAAAGAGCAAGCAAAGAGTAGTGAAATCCGTAATCAAATTTCCAGTAGGAAGTTGGAGACAAAAAGCCTGAATTATTTAATGATGGAGCATGGTCAATTTTTGAAAGCATTTCTGGAGTGCTGTCGCCAACAGTAGCAGGGGTAGACTTGAACTTGCCTCTTTTCTACCTCTGTGTGTGCAAATGCACAGTAAGATTAAACTTTAGAAAAGAGACATTAACACAGATGTCAGAAAAAACACAGACTCCAGTTGATCTCCCACTGAAATATGTGGAAATACTCCAGTTGCCATGAAGAAAATGTGCGTTGTATCTGTTCATGTCATTTTTTGCAGGGCTGGAGATAGTTCTGCAGAAAACAGACAGAGGCTTGTCCAGTATGTGCTGAATCAGGTTGACGGATTTTCCAGTATCTGTGTCTTAAAACTTCAGTTATACTTCAGAGGTTAAGCAAAAGCTTTGAAGAAATTAAGAAGGGAGTTTTCTTTAGGAATGAAAGAGATGGCTGAGGATTAATACGTTATAGTAAATAAATGTGAAGAGCAATTGAGGTATAGAAGGGGAAGATCAGGAGGACAGGAACAAAGTGTTGGTCATATTCAGGTTTATGGCAAAATTCCGTTCAGAATCCTACATTTGTCAATAAGTGGTTTTCTTACTGTTACACATGGAGCGAAAGGGAGGAAAGTGAAGTTAAAAGACAGAGCAGGAGGCTACATTACTGAATTTGAGTGGTAGTCATGCTCTATATTCAAGTTTTAGCTTTTTGGAAAGCATGAATCTTGTTGATTATGGTTCTGTTGGAAGCATGTATACAAAAATCAGACAGAGAAAGAAAAATTATGCAGAGCTTTTTAACCATTACTAAGTCCCCAACAAAAGAGGAACGGTGAAGATCAAAAATAAGCTCTTAGATTGATTTTATGTATTGATTGAAATATGCAAAGAGCGTAAGGTATACCATTTTTATGTCTTTTTATTTCCTCTCCCTCACTTCATCCTAGGTCGTATTCCAGACAGTCTGAAAAACTGTGTTAACAAAGATCATTTGACTGCAGCTACACATTGGGCCAGCATGGATCCCGGAGTTGTTCATCCAGAGCTTAATGGTGCTGCATACAGGTAAGCATGCTGCAGGTGTAAAAGAAATACCTCCTTAATTCAGAGGTAGGTATTCAAGAATAAATAAAAGACCTTCCTATTAATAAATGAAGTGGTTTTGGATTAGGCCTCAGATATATTGTTTTCATAATTGTTGCATTCAGGAGAATAATCTTGTTTTGCTAGGTGAAGTCGGTCAGGCAGCGTGTAAGTACATTTCCTTTTCTTGCCTTTTTTTGTGTGGTTAGTAATATCTGAACAATACACAGGTTTTTGTATATTCAAGTTAAAACGCTTCTGGTCATCTACAGTGAGTGCAGTGGAAGTTTATGTTCCTTTTGCTGAAGGTAATGATACAGCAGTAGGTTACTGAAAGACTTTCAATAATAAACTATTGTTACGTGGTTTTGTGGCCTCTAGACACATGAGAGAGCAAATAACTCAGTAGTAAATACAATGGAATAGCCTGTGGTGATTATGAAAATACGTTTAAAATAAGTGTTTTCTAAATTACACGTTTAATTTTTAAGTAAAAGCATTTGAGGGATGCAATCTATGTATTCTCAATCAACTGTGAAAGCAGCTCTTAATAATTAATAGAAAGGGGCAATTTTTTTACATCTAGTACGTATGTTTCTTAGTTACTTTGTTTGCTTGAGAGTCTTTCTCTGTTCCTTTATCCCTAGCAGCTGTTCTAGCAGCAGATTTTTCCTAGTAGCCAGCTTCACACAATTTTTATGTAGGAAAAACGTCTGCAATTTTTTATCTTCCAGTATGGTATTTACTCATAAGTAGGATGAAAGTGGCTGAGAAAGCTACAAACAGCTGCTTCCCTCAGTGCCTTGAGGGAAGAGACAATGCAGTCCTTTCATTATTTTTTTTGTACCTCTTTGTCCTAATCTTTCCACTGTCCTCCTTCATACATCTTTCTTATCTTTGTCCTTCTTTAGGAGGGCTACCCTGTACTTTTAATAGATACAGGATTTATTATTTTTTTTTACCCCATATGAGAACCCAGCTGTGCAGAACTGAGAAGTGAAGCAAAACTCTTGTGTCCCAATGATTTCTGTCTCATCAGAAAGTGATGGAGAGATGACAGGGGAGAGCGTCACCACCCTCTGCTGTAATCTCCTTATCAGTAGCTGTAAGTGCACCAAAGGAAAAGAATAACTTTGATTTGATCAACATGCATGTATCTTGCATCAGATCAAGGTGTTTATTTTTGGAAAAAGTACCTGTAGCCCTAAATATCTGAAGAAGGGTGTTTTTATTTGCTTAAATGAAAAGTTCAAGCACATGTGTTCTCCTCCACACGGCATGTGGTTTCATTGACTTCAGTTTGGAGTACTTAGGGTACAGCTGAGTGCAACTGAGGCTTAAAGGCAGATGTTGCTGAAGTGGGGGTAATAACTCTAACCCTGTCAGGGCAGTTAAGAACAGGGTTACATACCCAAATAAAATGCAGTTGTTTGTTCTCATTTTGAGGGTCACAAGTCCAGCAGAAGCAGACTTCACAGCTAGAAATGGATTTTAACTTAGGAATGTTTTGGGAGTTAATGATTTGCAAGGTAAAGACCATATGTATTTAATTTAAGCAGGATAAACACAGAACTGAATGCCTTTTTTTAGACATTGTTTCAATCAGTTTTTTCAATAAAGAAAATTAATCATAAATAAATTCTGACTTCACATTTATTTTCAAATGCAAAATAAAACTCATTTGGAGAATTTTGAGGGAGAAGTTAAGAGTCCTACAACAAATATTAAAAGCTGCTCTTTGGAGAGGTGATAGAATAGTGTTTGAGTATGGGTGAAGGCAGTTATTATTTTGCACAGTATAAAATCTGCACAAATTCAAGCTCAGGCTTTATGAAGAAACTGGTTTCAGTAAGCAGCATTTACTGATGCTTAATTCCTACCTGGATTAAGTACAGAATTTGAATTGATTGTTTGAAACAAAGTTTTCTGTCTTTTCTTTGCTGTCCAAGATTATGTTCAACTAACTGAGTTCTGGGGTCTTTCAGATCTTTCAGATGTGCTAATAACTGTATCATAGTCATGTAATTGCATTAGAAGATAAGACCTGGGATAATAATTTATATGTTAAAAAATGCAAATAGCTCTTTCAGTGAACTAAACCTAACGAAACTGTTTTATTCTGGGTATATCATTTACTTGTGTTTTGATGTAGGACAGAACTCTTACATTATCAGATGTTATCACAAGCAAAGAACATTGAGCATTCATCAGCAGAATGTAATCTAGATCTTCTGAATATCATCATATTCTGTGGAAAACAAAACCACTTACTATGTGAAATGCAAGACACCCCATCACCATGAAAGGTCAAGTGAACAGGACCTATCCCATGAGTAAAGATTAATGATATTCCTGAGAAGGAGCTATTTATAGTTGTCTCTGTGAGGCAGCATAATATACCCTGGTTTTGTGTTATTACTGTGTATTTGTTACTGAGCTGCCTGTTAAATAACCCCCTGCCATTTCCTGTGTCACAGAGCATGCAGGTTATAGGCAAAGTGAAATTTGACAGTAAACAATGATTGTGCAATTTATAGACATGTTGACGTACCTTTCTGCCTTCTAACAGGTAGAAGATGAGAATATTTAGGTACTGAAGAGGTGCTTGGATGAGAATAGTTAGATGTTGGTAATTCAGGAGTTATTTCATGTTGAAGTATTCCACTGGTGATTTTCAGACTCTGTAATGTAAGATAACAGCATGCACTTAAATTTTTAAGCTCTTTTGGGACAGAGTTGGTTTCTTGAGCAGAGTTTAGCACAGTGAGTTCAAGGTGCTTCTGTAGTTTAAAAAATACAGGAGATTAACAGAAATTTAAGTTGCCTTTCAGTTGTAATTAAGAGGACTATTGTATTTTTCTTTGTAAATTAAGACTATGTGGGGGAAGGAGAAGGTAGAGTACGAAGTAGGAGAGGAGGTGTAACTGATCTCTCACTTCTGCATTCACAAAAATTTAATTCAGTAGACATTTTTACCTGGAAAACATTTCAACTTATTGCTACCAGAGGAGGAAGATTGGGAGCAACTTTATGAAGTGCCGGAGGGAATGTATTTGCTGGTTAAGAATAGAAAAGCAGTAAGTAGCAACGTAAGGGAAGGTTATGTAGGATAGAAATGCCCATGTTTAGAGACTGTTGAGTTTGTGCCCTGCTTTCAGACATACGATTTGAACAACACTGATGATTAAATTAAAAAGGGACAAAAATTATGAAAAGAGAATGGCAAAATAGGGCTAGGAGTTGTCAAGCAAAATACAGTTTCTGTAGAGGCGTATCTTATCTGTATTTTGGCTACTGCCACTGTGTAACTTTAGGACAAGAAAAACAATTGTAGGGCTTTTGGTTGTTACTAAAACTCTGTAGGAAGCCTGTTTCTCAGGAGAGGTGCTGGCAGGTAGAATCCCAATTATTAAAACTTGGTCTCCAAGTGGAATATTTTTATATACATAAAGAATATTTGGCGTCAAAGGAGAATTGCAGGTGTGTAGTTTGAACTGCTTAAGATGTGCTCATAAGGTAACTGTAATGCTTCTGATCCGGCACTGTCCATTTTCACTAGGGAAGACTGACTTTTCTTCCTGGGTGAAATGCAATTGCAGAATTTGCTCTCTCCTTGATTTCTCCCAGCTCCTGTGTTGATGCTTGGGGAATATGTTGTTAGAAAGTAGAGATTCTGTGTTGGAAATGGTTGCTGTGTTGGGCTTTGAAATGGAAGTTTTTGTCATGTCATGTTGTGTTTTTTTGCAAAGCACCTAGGGTAACAGATAAGCTGTTTCAAAATTAAATTTGAATAAATAAAACAATATCCAGTCTGACAGTTTTCATAGGAATTGAAGCAAATTTTATTAATAAGATTCAAATTGAGGTACTGAAACAAGCAACGAACTCCATTAGCAACTGCAACTTAATGCTAAGCAATCTCTCTGGAGAAGGAGTTAGCATAGGAAGCCCTGTAAATATGTGTACAATTTGGAACAGAGTTCCAACCTACAGGTGGTGTGGTATTTCACATACTGGTTATCCATCCCAGATTACAGTCAGTGTTACCATCTGTAGGAATCTCCCAGGATGACCAGCCCAGTGTATGGTGTCTTTGTCATCCCTGTGCCATGTCAGATAGCAATGCCGAGCCCCTCTGGCACGGTGCTTGCAAACAGCGGTTCCCATGATGTGTCTGTGGTGGAAGAAAAAAGAACAAGTAAATGTGCTTTCATCCAGCTTTTTTCCTCTTCTGAGAACAGAAAAAGTTCTGCACTAATTTTCTGTCACTTTGAGGGAACTTAGGATGAACAACACAAACATGTTACTTTAGAAAAGATGCTACTGAAATGGGGTGAAATTCCCTGATGTATTCAGCGTTGAACTCTGATGAGAAAAAAAATCAGCAGCAGAATAACATGATATTTGAAAAAGCTTGACAAGACTACAAGTGCCTTTTCTGCCATTTAGTTCTAAGTAAATACTAGGGTAGCAAATGCCACAGTGAGTAAGTGGTAGGTTTGTGTGTTTAGGCTTTTAAATGGATAATGCACTTGCTAGGATGCTTAGGTGAGTGGAATACAGCAGGAGACAACAAGGGATGAGTGTACGCCTTTATGATGGGGAGGCAAAGGATCAGTGTTAAGTGACCATCGAGAGAGAACTTGCCAATGGGTATTGAGGTATTTGGCTAAGAAGAAAACATATTTTTGTTAGAAGTGTTCATGTGTAGCTGTTGTTTATATACAGCAGTCTGAAATACCGATGTTCATCAGTAACATCTGAACTTCAGGATTGAAACAGTAGATTTGTGAGATTTTTTTTTAGCCTGATAATATCAGAGCCATCATAAAATGAAGCTGAATCAGAGGGTGGTTTTTTAATTGAATTCATAAAATATTTAGGCCTTGATGTTTGTCCAGATAGAGTCAGAAGCCTTTAAAACCATCCAGAGTTTTTGTGTTTGCATCTCTCTTGCAGTCTGCCTAAAGCACCTGTCTTCCATATAACTAGTACTCGTTCTCTTTCAGACAAGTACAGTGGCAAGTTTGATGCTGACAAGGTTACTTAGGTGCAGCAGGCTTGAATTTGTCACCTTAAGAGTGTGTGGGTGTGATTGCTCTTTTGGGGAGCTATCAGAAAGCTCTGACTACAAGATTAGTTTAAAGAAATATTTTTTCAAACCACAACAATGAAATTTTAAAATTTCTACATGAGAATGAAAGAGAAAAAAAATCCCTGAAGGTCAACTTGAGGAAAAGTCAGAGAGAACAGATAGGTCTTGGACGGATCTAGCTTGAATTATTTCTTATTGAGGCATACTTTGAGAGGAGCAATACTTCCAGATTATTTCCTTTGCTATGCTGTCACTCATGCTATTAAATCTGAAATCTGAAGAAACAATCTAGCAAACCTTTATTTCTCATTTGGGTAAAATACAGGATCTTTTGCTTTATTTAGCAGCATCTGCATATGGTGTCTCATCTGGGCTTAACCAACTGTCTTTCTCACTGGTCTGAAAACAAAAGAAGCATCTCTGTAGCTCTAAAAGGAGGCAAGATGGGCTTTCCAGTCAGTCGTCTCTTGGTTTTAATGTATGTTCTTGTTTTCTTTTCTCAGCAGGTATCCCCCAGGCGTTGTAAGCGTGGCTTCAACTGGCATACCTGCAGCAGTAGAAGGAATAGTCCCCAACCCTATGTCTTTATCACACGGCCTCCCTGCTGTAGCCCACCCGCCCCATGCTCCTTCCCCTGGCCAAACTGTCAAACCAGAAGCTGATAGAGACCACCCAAGCGACCAATTGTAGCCTACGAAAACAGCATTCCCAACATCAGAGATTTCAACTTCAGCGTATGGAAAACAAACAAACAAAACAAAACAAAACCCTGGATTTTGATTAAAGGCAAAAACCATGAACTTACAGGAGGAGACGATTATTGTTTTAGAAACTGGTCCAATATACAGTATAAAAGGAAAAGGTGGGAGACAGAAAGAAGATTTGGAAACATTTTTTTCCTCCGTATAAATTGTAGTTTGTCCCTGTCCAGTGGACTGATTCACTGTTTCTGTGTCCTATGGGTTCTTTGTTAAGCAAGAGAAGTTAGTAGTTAATTATATCATGAATGTACTTGTCTGTGTACAGTTTTTAGAACATTAAAAAGGGTTTGTTTGCTTAGCTGTCAACAAGGAAAAACATAAGGGAGGCATTCAACAAACCAATTTTGAGATTAAAAATCCTTTCTTTTATATTTTAGAACATGCCCAAAAATGAGGCAGTTGGCAAACTTCTCAGGACAATGAATTTTTCCCATTTTTCTTTCTACGCCACACAGTGCATTGTTTTTTCTACCTGCTTGTCTTATTTTTTAGAATAATTTAGTAAACAAAAGAAAAACAGTTTCTCCTAATTTTGGCATGAATTCCCTTATTTCAAAATGAAGACAACCTTGCAAAGAGATTTTGAGGAAAAAAAAAGGTTTTGTATAAACGAGCATTGTGCTTTTTGTCACCAGTTAAAGTATATATTATTGGTGGTATGCGAAAAAGGCACTAGACTACTGAAAAGTAGCAGCATTTCATTGCCTACATTGATTCCTTCCTGGTAATGTGGTAGGCTAGCAATATTTTTGGTTAAAATCATGTTTGTGACTGTAACCATTTGTATGAATTATTTTAAAGAAATAAAAATCCCAGACAAATATCATATGTGTAAAAATTTTTATTTCTAGTAACTGTTTATTCAACTTTTATTAGGTTTCTTAGCTGTAATTTTTAAACAGATGCTGTCAAGTATTTCATTTCTAGCTTTACTTTGCTCTCTGTTGTTTGTAATACTGTCTTGGAAGCTTGAAAAATAAAAAAAAAAATTCTTTCCGTACCATTTTTCCCTTTACATTTCGTAAATGTTGATCTTTTTTCCTGTGTTTCTAATGGAGTTTGAAATTAAGATGGATTTTGATTTGTACACCGGCATCATCAGCTGCAATATGGTAACAGCATTTATGCCACCACTGTGGGCAGAGCAGAGGAGGTACAACAGCAACACAACAATAATAATAATAAATGTCTTTTGCCGAAGTCCAACATGAGAAGTGTCCATTGTTTTATTTGCTTTTGTGATGATGGAAGCATGCAGCAGGACATAATTGTATTTGCTGTATTGAAGGAGTTTGTTTCTCTGAGCACAGGCAGAAGCGTTTTCAAGGCAGGTTAGATTTCAGCTGGAAGCTGTTCTGACCTTTCCTGTGCTCCTGGGTGGAAGATGTCCTTCATCCCTACGCAGTTTAAAAAAGCAAGACAAAAGTTTAGCTGCTGCAAGAAGGAAATCCAGGATGGCCTAAAGTGAACTTGGACATAAACCTCCTCAGTGGTCGCTTGTCTATTTGTTCACTATTAGTCTGAATGTGTAACTGTACACCTAAGGTTAGTGAGCTGTTTTTATGAGATCTGTGAAAAGTTTCTGTCCCCCGTTTCCCACAAGTCTACAGAGCAGCTTCCGCGTCTGTTTGGAAAGTGTTAGGAGGCTGCAAATCAAGAAAGATTGAAACTTGCGGGTCTGTACCCAAGGAGCATGACATAAATTGAAATTTTGTCTCTCTGGAAAAGTGGAAGGTTTTTGCCTTGAACATTTAGAGCCAAAAATGTCATCCATTACAATGTATTTGCTGGTAACACCATTCCTATTTCCTCCATCAAACAAAACAGAAAATGGCCCTAAAACTTCAAGTTACCCAGCAAAAACACTTCTGGCAGCTTTATGGCCAAAAACTTGCAAAAAACAAATGCAGTTTCCTGCAGTTGAAGTAGGATTTTGTATTTCATTAGTAGTTCATGTTTTTAGATACTTCTTTGTCGGGCCAAAGATGCTTCTTGAACAAATGTAAAACAAACATACAACATCTGGCTGCCAAAAATTGCTGACAGTCAAACCAAGAGGTTTTTGTTGGTTTTTTTTCCTTCTCTTGCATCGATTTGGACCTGGCTTATGTAAGTAAGCTTTTGTTTCCAGTGAATCAATAAATTGATGAACTAGAAATGAGGACACCAGTATTTATGGCATGCACTTCTTGCGCTCAATTGTGAAGCTTGCTGTCCTTCAACCGCATATTTTTGAGCCGTCGTCCGTGCTTGCTCAGGCACAAACTTTTTCAGGATTTGAACCTGAAATACTGCAGTGGTGGGTGCGATAGGGCATTGTGACTGTGGAGGTACCACGTTTGGTATTTTGATGCTAGTGTTTGAAATATATCTGTCAGTCTGACTGGTGGAGAGTAATCCAGTTTCCCACTTCTCTTGGAGGAGAAAGGAAAAGCCATCCAGGCAGTGACAAGACCGATGACTTCTGGGTTATGGTTGGAAAAGCTGAATTAAAAAATTTAAAAAAGGCTTGGAGTAAATGACTGATTGGAAGTGTGACCCATAATAAGCAAAGGCTTTTATGACAGACTAACCTTATATCTTTTATGACTGCTTTTGTTGGATAGTAGAAATGTGATTAGATTTCCTCCGTCTGGTAAAGGATGTGCCAAATAAAGTTTAGATGGAAGAAGATGCAGTTAGTGGCAAAATGTAAAGTGGGGAAGGTGACGGCAGCAGAGGGCAACAGGTGACCTGAGGCAGTGTTGAAAGGTGAAAGAGGAGGCAATCAAAGCCTCCAAGTCAGTAATTTTTCTTTGGTACTGTTATTTGAATTAAGGATCTTGGCCAAGAAGGAGGCCAACCATACTGAAACTGTTGCTGGCTCAAAGATTATCGGCATCACCAGTGCACGCGAGGCTCTGGAGCCTGCACAAGCATTTGATGGTATCAAAGAATGGGCTATGAGAAGGAGGTAGATAGCAGTTGTGCAAATGCAAAGTCAAGTAGTTGCAAGTCAAAACAAAAGCTTGTCAGAAAAAGAAGACGTAAGTGATTTGCCACTGTGGGGCAGCCATGGAAAAGAACAGCATGGTGCCAGATGCGTCTGGCACAGTATTTTTGGTAGGGGTAAGAACAGATCAGGGATGCTACACGGGACCTGGAGCATTTGATGTGCAGTTTTGGTCATGCGTTTTCGAACGGGTGAGCTCAAGCTGAAGTCATAGCAAAGATGGGCTGTCGAAATGACTGAAGGTGTGGAGGGCTTACCATGTGAGAGGACATTGGAATAACTTGACTTTTTCAACTTAAAATGAAGGCTGTGATGGGGAAATGAGTATAAATAGTAAATGCTGGGGAGGAAGGAGAAATGTTAAATGGTGGTATATGAACAGATGAGCATAATGAAAGACCTCTGTCAGCAGGGACGTCCTGGGACAGGTTTCCAGGTGCAGTTACTGGCAGTCAGTCCTAAGATCCCTGCAGCTTGGGTTGTGTTTTGTGTTTTGGTTTTGTGTTTGGGTATTGGTTTTTTTTGTTGTTTTTTTTTTTTTAATAGCTCTGTTTTTACAATCCAAAATGTGAGAATATTTTTTCAAGGTCATACGAAGTTCCTACCGAACCAACAACTAGAGACCTTTTCCATTCAGTGTAAAACTTAAGTTTCCTTTGTAACAAACCTCAAAGCTTTTTCTGTTGGTATGTTTTTTTGAGAAAATGCCTTATTATTTTCTTGTTCAGCCTTCTACCTCAAATAATTAAGGCTGGCTTTCCAAATGACTGTGACTGCTGTAGTCTGACTGGTACCAGCTTACTCCTTGCCTCAGACCGAAGGGTTTTCTTCTTCTCTGGTTTAATCTTAGTGGATGCTTCGATAATGTTGGTTGTTCTGCTTGAAGGAGAAGGCAGCACTGCCAGTATTTCCTTTATTTGGTTCATTCCAACCTTCCTACTGTTTGTAAATTGGGGGGAAAAAAAAAATAAAAAGGAAAAAAGGGAAAAAAAGAAAAGAACAAGTCATTGGTTTTAAGGGCAGAGAGTAATATTAGATCATTTTGTCTGACCACTCAATGAAGCTGTTAATGTGATATGCTTCTTCATTAAAACCTGATACCATGTTTTGACTTAAGTACATCTTTCAGAAAGATTTATGGTCTCTATATTAAAATGTCAAGTGATGGGGTTTTTGCCGTTTCCTTTGATAGTTTGTTTAAATGGAGGATAACCGTCACTATAATTTTTAAACTGCTTTATTTAATTTGGCTTTCTCTGTCTCCAAATTCCAGTTATTGTTTCGTGTTGAACATGAGGTCATGAAGGCTGACTTGAATTTAGTGAGCATGTCACATTTTAGCCAATTTGCCTTTGTACTGAGGTCAGTGACACATCTTCCAGGAAGACCAAACTGTGTTATTCATCTGTTTTCTTTTCCAGTTTCTTTCATTATGCTGTACATCCTTTCTTTTGTGGCTCTGTATTTTTGTCCTTCTGAATGATGTAGTCCAATATGGTTATCTTCTGCAGATGAAATTATGGGGTTTCTGATCTCCAACATTCAGCTATTGTCTTCTTGCCTCCCTTGACTTTCTGATTTCCTTGGTAAGCTATTTTCCTGCAGTCACAAGAGCTTGAAGAACTTGATTAATCCTCACCTCCGTTTTCAAATGGCATTTGCCTAGGTAGAGCTGAGCACCTCATTAGTAGCAAAAGCTCCATGTTGAGTAGATGCTCAACGCAGTGGTCCCGCTCTCGTAGTCCGAGTGCTCGCTTTCATCCCACTGTCTGCACCCGTTGTGCATCTGCCTCTTGCAGAATGCACCTTACCTGTGGCTCGTACGTCTGATCAGACTGTTTGTCCCTCGGCATCTGCCTCCTGACCTTCCTTGTTTCCTTCTAGCTTTTGGGGGACCTGGAAAGTTACTTTTAAAATTCTTCCCTTTTTTTTAGAAAAAAATGCCCTTTGGTCAGTTCTGCTTTTCATCTGTGAGTTCGAGCTCGACACAGACCACTTGCTTCTCAGCTCTCTCCTTGTCTGACCTCCATGCACACTACCTCGCTAAACCCAGATACAGTATTCTATTTTTTTACGTCCATTTTTGGGCTTGGGTTTGCCCAGTTGGTCTTTTTTTCATGCAGTTCCTCATCTGGAGTTTCCTTCCTACATTTTCTGTACTACAGAAACTATGGCCCTTCAAATCTAGTCTCAGCACTGTTCTTTGCCTTTACATTTCTGCTCAGAGCCATAACAGAGCATTTTCTTGAAGGAGCATTGTTTGGTTTTGGGGGCGGGG